AGTTGGGCTCCAGCTGTAGAGGCCGGGGCGGGGGCTGGGGCCGCGACCTCGGATGCTGCTTTGTCATGGCCTACTGAACTACCTGCTCCACCGTGGCCTCCTGAGCTGCTAGATCCGCCATGGCCTCCTGAGTTCCCTACTCCGCCATGGCTCCCCGAGCTGCCTGCTCCGCCATGGCACCCCAAACGGGTATCACTCTGGAGGCCCGCCGTCTCGTGTCTGTCCTGAGGGACCTCCAGAGTGCCTGCTCCCCCTCCCTGTTGGATGTTGTTCGGCGCGGGACGCGCCTTCCGGGAGGGGGAGTTAGTGTCAGACTTTGTTCCATGTCTCGTGTTGTGTTTTCCTCCCCCATGTGCTCCAGGTTGATGTTTATTCCCATATTTGGTTTTCCTGTTCATATTCCCATTTAGTTCTATTGATCCCAAGTGTGTCCCATTAGTTTATATTTATATAAAGTGTGTTTTGCCCCTTGTTTCCTGTCCGCTGTCGAATGTCATTTCATGTCCTCAGTGTATCCCAAGTCTCTGTATTCCCAGCTTTTGTTTATTAAATCTTTGAAATGTACTTTGTTCCTCGTCTCCGTGTTCGTTCCTGTGTGTCGTGACAATAGGCTTCATTATCTTTATGCAAAATATAATTTATAATTTCTTTGTTGACTTTTAGGTGATATATTGACAATATGAACCAATATAAAAGCATCATTATAGTAGTCCGTACAACTCAGAGTTATTATAGTTAACTAAAATTAAAACAATAAAAAACATGTTTTCATTACTTGAAATAAAATACACGTTAACTGAAATAAAATATTTTTAAAAACGTACATTTATTTTATTCCAACTAGTTGCCAAGGCAAGATTTCTAATTTTCAATACGTTTAACTTGATGTACAAAAATAACAAAAACAAAAACTGAAATAAAATTAATGAATACACACACACACATCTATATATACATAAATAAAAATCAGAACAAAATTATTTTGAACTTATTAGGAACTTTAGTTTTACCTCAGTGTATTTTGGAAGTGAATGGTGACTAATGAACACATAAGCAGAGCTGTATTATTTATATTTGGTTTGAGTGCGAGCTGAAGGATGGCTATTAAAGCTGAAGCTCAATACGTCTGTCTCCATCTCCTTCGCTCTACAGCAGACGAGTGCCAGCTTTCATTCAGACGATCTCTTCCAGTTTAGTTTGGCGTGGATGTGTGTTTGTGCCCAGGAGTGATTAAAACACAACCTTGTTAGGTTCAAAATACCTCCGAGGCGCAGCTAATGGGTTATTTTTAGAAAGCTGCACCTTAATAAACTCCTTTCATGATTTTCAACATGCATGACAGGCTCCAGTCTGCTTGAAAAAATGATGCTGTGTGAAGTGTAGACAGGGATCATAACTATATAGAGTTAGATATATAATCAATTATTGTCAAATATGCATTATTTCTATTCCACTAGTGTGCAAGGATGCATTCAGTTGATCAAAGGTGACAGCAAAGCCGAATTATTATTGATATCTAAAACACTAAAACATTTTTACTAATTGAAATAAAGCTGAAATAAAATATTAGACTTAAATATATAATCAAATATAAAATCAAATAAATATTTTAAAATGTAAAAATAAAACTATTAAAACAAGTTTGTTAGTTGAAATAAAGCTGAAACAAATATATAATATTAAATATCAAATATTAAATAAAATACAGATAAAAAACTAAAGATAAAACTATTAAACATTTTTGCTAATTGAAATAAAGCTGAAATAAAATAGTAGACTTAAATATATTATCAAATATAAAATAAAATAAATATAAAAAACTAAAAATAAAACTATTAAAGGGGTCATATGATGCTTTTTTAAAGATCATTATTTTGTGTATTTGGTGTAACAGAATATGTTGACATGCTTTAATGTTCAAAAAACACATTATTTTTCAAATACTGTACATTATTGTAGGTCCTCTATGCCCCACCTCTCTCAAACGCTTCGTTTTCTACAAAGCCCCTCCTTCCGACAAGCGCAGTCTGCTCTGATTGGCCAGCTGACCCAGTGCATTGTGATTGGCCGAACACCGCAAGCACGCGTCGGAAATGTAACGCCCCTTACCATAATCACGAGCTTAAGCTTTTAAAGTAAATATCAAGACAGTTAATAATGTGGTTAGTTTTACCATC